AGTGCTCCTAATTAAGGACTCTGGCATTGAGATACCTTAACCTTTGCTTATCAGAGTTGTTGCTGAGTTTGAAGGGGTTCCAGTGATCATCAGCTTAGTCAAGTAACATTCATTGCTTACATCTGAAAGAACCTGAAATTGCAAACATTTGTGGCCTTCATATATGTGTGTGTGTGTGTGTATATGTACACACACACACACATATTTTATATATATATATATATATATATATGAAGGCTTAGTTTGTCCTGAACCTTCATATATATATGAAAGCTATAAAGATTTGAAATTCTAGATCCATATTAGGGCTGGTGAATGATTAAAAAATTTATTGTAATTAATCATGAGATAAAAAATAGCTGTGATTAATCACAATATTAATCATACAAACAATAATAGGATCCCAATTTATTATATATAATTTTGGATTTTTTTATATTTTCAAATAAATTGATTTCAGTTACAACACAGAATGACAACTGTACAGTACTCACTTTATATTATTATTTTTATTACACCCAATTGTACTGTAAAAATGACACTTCTGACCTGCAGCCCCCTAGCACTGCTAGTGTCCCACAATCCTGGCCCTCCAACCCCTGTCCCCCATATACTTACCTGCATCCAGCTGCTGAGTTTACTCCCAGGGCCCTGCCTGACTGCTTGCTGGCCATATGTGTGTGTGTAGCCTAGCTGCAGCTGGGGGGTAGAGGGTGCTTTTCCCCCAGCACCAGCAAGGATTAGCACGTGTCAAAAAATTTAACACAAAAACAGATTAACGCATCAATTGTATGCATTAACTGCAATTAATTGACAGCCCTAATCCATATATATATATACACTATACTATATTATGCTAATATGGAAAAATGGATTAGGGCTGTCAATCACAGTTAATATGCGATATAGATATATGATCTAGAATATATATGTATGTTTGTGTGTGTGTGCATGCATGCGCATACGTGTGCGCGCATGTGTGTTATATATATACATTGGATCTAGAATTTCAATTTGACCTTTTTTTCTTTTTTTTTGCAATGCAAGTAGTTGTCACAGGCAACATGCAAAAGAAAACCTTATGTAGAGTGGGGATTCCTTCTCCTTTCTTAATACATTTTCTCCAGACAGATTTTTCTATAGTTTTCAAGCACAGGAAAAACGTCTTCATAAGGAAATCAAAGGCTCACATCAATTACCACTTTAAAGTCACAGCTGCAGTCCCTTGATTGGATGCATCACCAGGCAATATTCATCTTTAAAAAAAATCAAAGCGAAAGTATGACCTACCACTTCAATTTTCAGTTGGGTTGTATAGGATTTCCTACATAAAATAAAAAGGCCTGGTGACATGATAAGTACTGTTAAAAACCACCAATCTTCATATAGAAAAGAGCTGGTCATTCAAATGTGATAATGATAAAATACTTATGGATATCATTACCATATAATATCACTTACAGAAAACCCAGGGAGGCAGTTATCTTTGGCTTTCTCTCAAGCATAATTTGATAGGGACGCTAAATGACCATGATGTTAACACAAACACTTCTTGCTTTTAATTTAAACAAATAATCCTGTCAGAATTGAGTCCTCATGAAAGTGAGGAATTATTGTTTAGATAGAGTCAAGTATTGGACAAGCATGCACAGAGCTAGTTCCCTCATCTTCCATTGTACCTTCACCTTGGCTTCTTTTTCTCCTATACCAGTTCTGTCTCTCTCCTAAACAAAGCCCATTCACCAGACCAGCTGTTGACAGATCACTTGGCAGTTTTCTGAATAAGGCAAGCCTTTGAAAATCTCACTTCCCTTGCAGCTCACGAATATTTGGGCTCAGGGTGAAAAGCTGCTTTGTTAGTCCTGTGCAAGCATAACAAAGAAAATGGAAAATAAATTCTGTTTCTTTGCATTTTCTTCCTTTCAGAGTCATCATAATGATTTGGTTAGTAGCCCTCTTCCAGGCCTTGGTTGCCAGGAAAGAGTATAGGAAATCACATATGCACAGCTTAGTGTTAAGATTTATGTGACTACGGACTCTATTAGACTCTAATGAGGTAGAAGGTGAAAAGTCAATGGCACTTGGTTGTGACAAGCGTCCTGGATACAACTCATTTTTGTAAACATCTCATTTCTCCCTGAAAGAAATATTCATGCTCAGTTTTGCAGGATAGAGATTGTTGATTACATCCCTTGTATAGCTATAAGAGACACTGTGGGCATGTCTACATGTGCCCCTGACTATGCTTTTGGTACTGCATAGTCATTTAGTAGTACCTGCCAGTACTGTGCAGTCCCAGCAGCGCACGGTTATTTTTAGATGCTATGGTGACATAGAATTGGCATCATGGTTTGTGCCTGCCAACATTACATTGTCTTAGTGACGAATTGTGTTGTGTCTGAGTTTTGGGAGACAAGAACTTAGAAGATGTGGGATTCATTTTGTTTTTTTTAAGCTCATTACACTCAGAGAATTATGGTATAATCCACTAAAGAAAGGCTGGTTGATCAAGGCCACCAGGGTTGAGGGTGCCAGTAGGTTCAGAAGCATAAGTGAAAGGACCTTTCTGTATGGCATGGTGCTAGCTGAATGATGGTAGATGTACTGCTTAGCAGTAACTGTGGCTTGCTCCAGGAGGTTAGCAAGGAAGTAGTAGATTGTGTCAGCACAATGTCATAGATTATAGGGCCTGACAGGATCATTAGAATAATCCACAGTGACCTGCATAACACAGGCCAGAGAATTTCACCAAATGATTCCTGTATCAAAGCCTATAATTTCACCCCATACATCTAAAATCTAATAATGGATGGAAACAATGGTAAAGTAATTTAGATGAATTGGCTTCTGTTGTGAGACACTGCTCTAAGATATTATAAAGTCCCATGTCAAATCACAGTCCAAAGTCACAGCGAAAAGGAAGTGTTCTTTAGTGAGTTTCATTCAAGATGTTAATTTGCAGTCTAGTCAGGTTAAATGTATGCATGTCTGAGAAAAACTGCTACCACTCTACCTTTTACACCATAGCACACAGAGTGACGTGAACTGGCAGAATACTGAAGAGTTTTGTCCATGTTTTGATTCATGCCTGCTGTAATTTCTTTAAGCTGCTGAGAAATCATTTTAATGTAATGCTCTAGGAGAGAATTACTTATTTTGGCTAATTATCTGGTGCTGTGATCACTGCCATGTTCAACATCTTAAATTCTCTGTTTCTGATTTTGCATTCCAAAGTGGATTAACACAAGCAAGCAGATGTGTGATAGATACTGGTAACAAGCATGAAAGTGAATAAAATGGGAGAAGCCAGATAAATTAGGAATCTAGGGACCTTAACAACAGCTCCTCAGGAAGGTTTTACCACTCAAATAGTTTGCTATATTGCAGTCTATGTCTGTTTTTTCTCTACAACATGATTCAGTTTCTGTTAGCTACTATTAGCCTTTTCTGTGGCTGGGTTTGTAAGCATGGTAGACCAAGATATAGTATAGGCAGCTTCTCTTCTACAGGTATCAAATATATCATTGCTATACTCTTTGTAGGAGCAGCAAGTTTAGGATTTGTGGGATTCAGTGTCATCTTTGTAGGATGCAGCCCATCTTTGAAAAAACAGGGTTTCTCTGTATAATATTATTCTCCCAGGGGACTGGTTATAAATTGTAATGTGTTTTTTGAAGTAATTTGGTATGCAGATTTGATAGTGTAGCAATAGCATATTAGTAGTTACTTAGTATCATTTTAGAAGATGAGGAGGATGGTAAGAGAACATGAATGGAACAGAATAGAACCTGACTTCTAGAGCAATTCTCTCAATATCCAATTATGTAAACTGTCAAATTTATGAAGAGCAGGTTTGAACAATTGTCAGGAAAATGTATTAGGTGATACACAAAACCTACTTTCCTGCCTTCCTGTCAAGTGCTTTGGCAAGTAGACTTTTTCATAGTTGACATACTGTATAGGAGAGCAACACACAAAAAAAAATGATTCAAGTTAAACATGTTGTGGGGTCCTGTGGACAACTGTGGACAACTCTAGTGCTTACCTAACACTATGAGAGTCACTTAGGGAAAAATGTTCTTTTGGTTGCTGTCATGAAGCCTCTTGTCTTTAACTATACAATCACAACTGTTTCTAAAATAACCTAAAATCATATAATTTTTCTGTAGTGAGAATACACAAACCAAACCAGAAAAATTAAAGCATCATAGATTAATAGTAAAAGTTGGTTGGCTTACACTAGCTACCCAGAAAGGTAACAAAGTTACCTTGTTAATTTGACATCTCATCTGAATGTACAACTAATGATGCTCTGTGTGTGTATGTACAGCTATTGTATCTTATGTTTGGTCCCCGTCTTTACACCTAAGCGGGGCCATCCTGCTGACAAAAAGAAAATATGCAGGCAAAATTGATAATATAACAATCAATATGTCAATAAATAAATACTGGACAGAGAAAACAGTGTGAGAAATAGGAATCAAACAATGTCAGAAGATGTTATACTTCTAGTTATTTCTTATATTGTAGAAAAATGTTTAATGTTTTACTATTTACTTTATGAATCTATCATTAAAAACTGTGTCTTAATGCATAGCAGTAATCATGTGCAACAATAACCTTGGCATTTCCTGATTTCCGAGTGCATAATTGTTAAGGTTGTTCTTTAATGTTCTCTCTACATATATCTGTGAATCCACTGTGCATTTATGCATAGATATGTACATATGCTGTGACTATTCTTAATGAGCCATATTCTACACTGAGGTCCCATTCACTTAAATGGGATATTTAAGTATCATGACTGCAACCAATATTGTTTCATTAGTCTTGCCTCCCAGCCCATACGGCACTTTTTTCTTTCTGTCTTACATTTAGCTCTTTGGAGCAGATACTCTTTGAAGCAGGTACCAAGTTTATATAGTGCCATCTACATTGGGATCAAGTTCTATGATGAGAATTGACAGCTAGAAAATGGTATTTAGAGGTTTGTCTTTGGGAATTGGCTTGTTGGTAAAGGAGATATGCATTAGAACAATGGGCCAGGGCAATGACAAGGGTAAACTGATTTCTAAAAGCCTGTTTGTGACAAAGTTTCCTTCAAGGCCCACTGTGTCTGACACAGGCAAGCAGACACACAGACTAGGAAACTGAAGACATATACCACACTGCTCCATAATATGGTCAGTGTACCCAGAGATAAGGGACTTTGCAGGTCACAGTGACAAACTGCAGAGCCCCTGGGATTTCTGGTTTTGGTAAATGGACTAAATTAGAGGAAATGTAAAAAGCCCAAATTAGGATACGAAGGGTTTGTGAAACAAAGGAATATGTTGACAAGACAGAACATGGACAGTATGACGACCACAGGGAAACCAATCAACAATGCCCAGAGATGAAAAGTCACCATAGGGAGAGATAGGAGGGATTTCAGAGCAGCAAAGTGCTCCCAAGAGGAGTACCCAAGACCACCATGGACATAGGGCATATCACCAGCCTGTCTCACCCACCCCACTGGGGTGGGTGGGGAGGTGGACCTTGGCCTTCGACCTCCAGGCTGCTGACATCTGACATTCAACAAACAACCTTGTCAGGGGGTGAGTTCGATCTCGTAACTACTCGCCATAGCCTCCACCCCCCCTGGTAGGGGACTGTCCCCAGGGTACTCCACCTGGAAATGCTCGTCTGTAGGCTGGGTGCCTCCAGACTGCCTGCCACAACTTTGATGACCTCCTGGTTCAGTGATGATAATCCGGAGCGTGTCAGTCCACAGATGAGACTCCTGGATTCTAGGGGTCCCACGTTGTTGAGGGCTTCTCCGCCCCTACACCCTCGCCCGTACCTCCATATGGTTGACCAACAGTATGCTCAGCCCCCCCCCCCTTCTTGTCAGGGGATCGTGCCCGGTATCTTTCAACCGGAAAAGAAAAGAAAACAACTTAAGGCTAACAGCCAGGGATTCCCCAGAGCCTGGAGGCCGCCGAGACCTTTCGCGGTCCTTCCCGGGTCTTTCCCTGTCCGCTGTGGGCTAGCACCCTTCCTCGGGCTTCGTCCTGAGCAATCAACTGGCTCTGGTGCTTGTGGGGTCTTCTTGCCCCTCTCCGTCGCAGTGGGGCACCTTCTCAGCTGCGAGTGCCCCTGTATTAGAAGAAATACGGCTCGCTGGCTCCTGCCGAGCCGAGCCATCCTCTCTGGCCCCTAACCGTCAGTCTCTGGGTTGTGTCAGTTCCTTCCCGGACCCCAGGTCCTGCTGGGGTTTGCTCTTACCCCAGAAGGTCCTCCCATGCCTCCGAGCAACTCCCGTCCGTGCCCGGGTGCTCCTGCCGGCATCCGCACCACCGCCGCTTGTTTCCGGCTCCTTCCCTCCAGCCGCCTTCAGCGTTTCCTTTATGGTGGCCGGAACTGCCTCAGGGCCCTTCCTCGAGACATACCTGCAGATCATGAGTGTTCCCGCCCTGGCCGTTTGTGCCGAGGGGCGTAACACGGTTCGGTTAGGGACAAGGCGTGGGGTTTTGGGGGCCGCGGGCTCCTCTTCTCCCCCACAAACCTCAAGGTGAAATTCATGTACTGGCCAGCTATACCTTCCCTCTGGTGACAGCTCTAGGACTGGTAGATATAGAATTGTTTGTATTATTTTTATCTGCTATCACTGTGTATCAATAACATTTGCCTATTATCAAATGGAGAGGTTGTAGTCAGTTTGACGGTTTTGGTCTGCCCAGAACAAGGTCATAACCCTAGTGCCAACAAAAATGCTGATACACTACAATAGTACAAACAAGAAATAATAAGTACTGCTTACTGTATATTATCTATATACCCCACACACATGACTGTCTACTTACAGTAAAGTTATTTCTTTCAAAGTACCATAAAGAACTGTTTTCACTGCCTTGAACACAACAAAGGGCACCAAACAACTTCCAAACAGTTCACAGTTGTATGACACTTTATGACACCAGTGAGATTTATGAAAATCCAGAGATAGATTAAAAACATGGCTTACATTCGTAGTCTTTTCATAGTGTTATGCCATGGATTTATAGATCTTCCCTAAGGAAACTAAATTAATTTTCAGAGATTTTTCTTCTGAGCAAGACAGGATAATAAATAATCCTTTCTAGTACCTTTGGAGATAATTGGCTGGAAAACTATAGGATGATAATTGTTAACTAACTTCAGGTCACCTCAGTTGAACATTAGCACCATTGAGGCATGCTTCTGAGTAACAAGAACATGCCCTTCAGACAGAGATTAATTAAATGCAAAAGTTGAAAGAGAATGAGTTGAATTCACAACTCAGTGTACCTTGCGGATGAGTAGAAGTGCCACATGTTTTAGTGGTAGAGCTGTTTTCTGATTTATCTGACTTTTCAAAGCTTTCCTCTCCTGCATACATATTTTGGGACCAAAAGATTCATTCAATGGTGAAAGGCTTCAGTCAAAAAACCCGATTTAAATTCCTAGCTTTCCAGAAAATTAAAGTAGTTAGTTGTTTCACTTGCACTTATTCCAGCCTGAAGTTTCAAAGGCTAATACTTGATGTCACCAGGAACCCATTTTTCTGTTCCTGTCTTTTGCCCAAAGAATGGAGCCACAGTTGTGGTTCATGTTAAGGTAAATTTAAATTCCCAGTATATGTTTCTGAGACTGAATTTAGTGGGAGGTTTGCCAGTCACAAGAGGGATGGGATTCTGCCCTTTCATAGTGTGCTTGTAAGGGTAGATTGGTATAATTAATGTATGATGAAATATTTGCCAAATGACATATTTTAGTTGTTGATAATGGGCAAAAAGGTAGTTGCCATCTAGATTTAGCCTTATGCATATCTTGTAGAAGAGATACTCATTTTTGTTACAAGTCTTGATTGGTCTTTTCAGGTGCCGATTAGTCTTATCCAGGGATGCTTCTACCAGGCTGCTGTTATCTGTATCACAGGAGTATAATCAGACAAAACTGCCAATGTTTGTTGCATCAAGAACAATAGAAATGGTTCGCTCTCTTCAGAGCAATTAAAAAGGAACAACAGCTATAGTCATCCTGAGGAGGCTTCTATCTTGAAACCTTTTCTGTTTTTAAATGTTGGAATTCTAAGTTGGAAGGGTCAGCCAAGTTAGCAGAAAGCACTCTAGATTTTATAATTTATTTTAGGCAATGCCAGGTTGGGCAATGCCAAAATATCTTCAAATATCTTTATTTGAAGATCTCCAGGGTGGGTGACTGTACCACCTCTGGGGGGAGTCTGTTCCAGACCCTTGGCACTCGACTTGTAAAGAAGTTTTTACTTATGTCCAATCTGAAGTGATCTTCCTTATGTCCAATCTGAAGCAATATCATTTGCTTTCCCTAGAAATGATTTTTTTTTCACTTGAAGGGAATTGCTAGCTGATCTAATCAACCTTTTTTTCATTATTACTCAGAAGTCTCATTGGGTTAATTCTTGACTCAGTTCTTTAAAATAGTAAATATATCCCAAACTCAGGTGAGTTGTCAGCAACAGCTGTTCAGTCAAGAGACCTCTGGATATTAAAGTATGAGGCTCTACCATCTGCATAAAACACTGTGTTCTATTACCTGACAAAATAGTGGGATTATCAACTTGTGTGTGTAGCTTAGCCCGCAGTGGTGGGGGGCAGTGCTCTTCTGACAGGGTGTTGCCTGGACCACTGCTTAATCCCCCAGTTAGGGTCAAAACTCTTTTGTCCTTTAGTTTCTTTCCTGCCAGGACTTTGCATTTCTTCCTATCCATTATAATGCCAACAGTTTCATGCTAGGTCTTTTCTAGCTTGTTTTTGGGATTGGTCCTTTTCCGGGGTTCCTTCTTCCCCCACACCCCCCCAAAATGTTTTACAAATGAAGTACCTTACAACTTCTGCTTTCAACTTCTGTGGCGGGTCAGTAGGGGGTGCTCCTGCATTGAGCCACCCACCTCACTGCACCTGACCACCTTCCAGGCTCCGAGTGCCTCCCTGGGGGCGCCTCACATCTGGCCGACCCCTGGCAGAAATTGGAGTGTGAGATATAGGTCTTTGTTATATGCTCATATTCTAGACAAGAGAATAACTGGGTTGATTGAAAGAAAAAGACCAGGCAGGGGGTGTAAGAGCCACCCCTTAAGTAAGAAAACTCAACACCTTCAAAAGTAAATAAGCTATTGATTATATATGTACATGTAAAAAACTTCCAAAGGAAAAGGGCAACACATGTAGGAAAACGGAAGACTGAAATGTTCTCACAAAAACTTAAGTATTGTCTTGAAATTACTATGAGCATCAGAATTAAAAATGTGAAGAATATTTGGAAAACCTGTCACTCATGTTTTAAAAATAATGTCAGTAATGTGGATATGATAAGGGCCAAACTGGGATGAAGATGTTCGTTTCCCTCAACATACTGAAGAGATTGAAATACTGCAGGAGAAGAGGGAAGAGGAATGGGCTGAAGTTGTTCAACCTGAAGTCCCCAAATCGTACTGCTAACTAAAGGGTGTACAGATGTTATCAAAACCCATGTGAGCACAAAAACAGTTTCTGTTATTGTTGATTTGTTTATTTCTAACCAAGGTGGATAGAGCCTCCCAGAAGAGGGATATGGCACAGAAGGTGGCTGGTTATAATCCTCCCATTTATAAGTGAGCAAGCTGCTGTTTACAAGCAAGTGTACCCTGGAGGCATTCAGGCATAAATTCCCACTAGACAGACTATGGCTGAGGCAATCGAGCCAGCTAAATACAGTACTGGTTTTCATCGGAGCCTGGCTTGCAAGCATCTTTGAGATGATCGAGAGTGACATTCATGATTCCTGTATAAAGAGCAAATAATTTAGCTTTATGTGGTTCCCCTGTGTTGGGAGAGACCCAAATACATCCCTCTTACAGCTCAGGGACAAGCAGAGGCTCTAGCATACCACTTTCAGTTTCCTGGCTGATGCAACATTATCAGTTGTGGTAGTCTCTACTGTCCTGCAAGGCAAGAGTTCCCAGGAGGTCAAGTAGCCCTCACCTGAACAGCCCTCAACACTCTTGCACAGGTCTATTTGCAATGGGCACAGAGCCCCCCCCTCCCCCCAGAAGACTGCAGGAGCCCTAGTGCAGATCCACTCCACCCACACAATATCATTTTGCAGGATGTTGTGGCTGGTGTTTTATGCAAAGTCCTTGAATCAAAACAATGACACGATTTCTTCATATGCAACCATGACCATATAT